AAGGCAATTTGGTTAATTTAAAAAAGCGTATTATATTTGTCTTATAAACTTAGTCATTTTTAATTTGTTTTGATAAACATGATCTCTATGATTTCTAAAACTTGTATGAATGATCATTTTTCCTAACGTCGTTACTGTTCATCCATTAGTTTAAGGTAATTTTGTTTTTTTAGGTAGCGGTTTGTTACTATAGGTAAACAATATGAACTATTTATTTAATTTTGTTTATATTTTATATTTATGAGTTTGTGGTTTTTTTTGAAACACCCCTTTACCTTTTAAAATTTCATTTTAACCCTTTCATTTTGAACTTTGTAAGATCTTACTTTCACCCATATATTTTATAATTTTCGCATTTATCCCCCATATTTATATATAATTTATTTTCATTAGTAACTTTTATTCGTTAATTTTTTATGTATTATATTCGAGTTTGTCTATGTTATGTACGTTTTTTACATATGAGTCGGGTTACATATAATAACTTTTGTTTGTTAATTTAAAAAAAATGTATTATATTCGAACTTGTCTATGCTTCGACGTTTTTTTTAATGTTTATGTTTAATTTTATGTATATTTCCTACAAATGAATTGTGTCACATATAATAACTTTCGTTCGTTTACTGAAAAAAAAATATATATTATATTTGGGTTTGTCTACGTTTCGACATAATCTGTTTACATTTTCGTGATTAATTTTATGTGCATTTCATACGCATGAGTTGGGTCATATATAATAATTTTTGTTCGTTAACTAAACAAATTATTTCTGTATGTATGTATTGGTATTAACTCAAGGTGGTCAATTTTGAACTTTCTTTCAATAATTAAAAAAAAAAGTTACTCATTTTTTTACGTATGTGTCTGTATAAATTCGAGTTTGTATACGTTTTAAAGTAATTGTTTTTATGTTATTATATGTGAGTTGACTCATGCGTAGTACACGTACCAAAAATTAAGCACAAAAATGTAAATAAAAAAACTACATTGGAACGTAGATAAACTCGAATTTAAACTAACAACGACATAAAAAATCAATTAATGTTTTTAGAAAAATTAACAAAATGAAGTTCTAAATTCACGTTGAAACATTGACCACCTTGAATTTATACCGATACATATATATAAAAATAAACGGGTAAAAAATTAGTTTTTTTAAGGTTAACAATGAAAGTTATCAAGGAAAATCAAACTATATATAATGCATGAGATAAATAAGACTATTTAGAAACTATAGGGGTGAAACTAAGATTTTACAAAGTTCAAAGTGGAGGGGTCAAAATGAATTTTTAAAAAGTAAAGGGGTGGAAAACCCACAAACTCATTAATATAAAATATAGACAAAATTAAATAAATTGTCACTATGGTTTATTTATAGTCACGAACTCGGTCTCTGCTACACAAAAGACAAAGTTACCCTCATACTAACAGATGAAAAGTAATGACATTATCAAAAAGGACCATTCACGTAAGTTTTGGAAATCACAAGGACCACATTTGTAAAAAAATTCAGCAACAAGTGACTTTGTTACTTTTGGTAAACTATAGGGACCATTTATATAACTTTATCGAAAATTTAGTATAACGTTTTAGCTCTCTATAACAATTTAGGTCGATTTGTTATATATATATATATATATATATATATATATATATATATATATATATATATATATATATATATATATATATATATATATATATATATATATGTCTTTTATGGTGTGTAAGATGGATGGTTTTGGGTAAAATGTGTTGGAAGATATATGAATATGGTAATTGTGGAGAACCGGATTCCTGATGGATCGTGTAAGTTCACTTTCCAAACTGGTATCTCCACCTTATGTCTGGGATATAGGAAATACAGCTTAGGATAATCCACAATGACACTTGTGTATCTAGACACCGAAACACAAGTTAAATCATCAGAGAATTTTGAGTTCGTTCAAGAAGAAAGAAAAGTTTAGAAAATGGTTCTATATACGACTAAAAAAGGGAGTCGTATATATACGTGACATATTAGGGGTTAATCTTCTATATTAGTTAGATAAATCTCGAAATTATTGGCCTAATCAATGGTTTTCAAAACTGACAAGATTTATCAATCTTACCATAATCATCCACTACAATTAGCAAGACTACCGCCAAGGCTCTCCCCCTTTGGACCTACAAGGGGCGTGCCTCCTGACCCCTGTCACTCTGTCATACTGACTTATAATTCGATCTTATATATGCATGTACTTCGCATTCACCGAATATATAATATAGAGTACAAATAATAAAACCCTTAGCTCACATGTTAGATCCAATTACACAAAATGTCTAATGACACTAAAAGCACCTACAAAAGGTTGGTTAATCTTTTTATTGTTACGAAATTTTATTTTTAAGGAAGCGTATATAATATTCTTGGTTAATTCTATTTCACAATTTTTGAACGTAGGTTTCATTTATTTCTGATGCGAAGATTTAAATTTTGATTATCCTCCTAAAGTTTGTATTGTTGTTGTTGTTAAATACATATATGACTAATAAGCAAAAAAATTTTAGAGAAACTTGCTATGTTGACTTCTCAATGGATTGTTTAGAAAATTCATGTTATATTTATTTTTCTAGAAAATGTGATTATTTAAAAAAAAAAAAAAAAAAAAAAAAAAAAAAAAAAAAAACCCTAATAGACCAAAAACAAATCTTGCATGGTTTTTTGCACTTCATATAAATATAAAATTACTCTGAACGTCTTTTATATTCTTGGTACCGTTATAAATTTATTGAAACTTAGTTGACCGGTTGATCTTGCACGGTTAGTGTATCTCATATTATTGCGACATGATCCTATAAATATCTTTATGTTTGAGTTTTCTCTTATTCATATGGGCTCTTTTGCGGAGCTACTCTACATATATCTTATTTTGTGACGTCCATGGCAAATCATTATAAGTGGGAGAGAACTATAATTAACATCAAAATTGTATTGTTAGATGTTTTGATCTAATTATGAATTTACCATTTTTATTTAACTAGACATTTATTGTTGACCTAAATGATGAATTTACTATTTCACAAGATGTTATAGCATCCTACTTTCACATGCAAAGTGTTATAACATCCTGCTCTCATTAGTAATGATTGGATTTCATGTGTAAATGACATCTTGTCATAGTTTGATGGCCTTTTTGACTACTTGTAAGTTATAAATTAGAGATCTTTTTGATATTCTTTGCAATGCTTAGATACAATTCTTTTATAATCTCATTAGATTATAATTTATGGGAACACAATTATAAAATTAATTAAACTTTTATAATAAAAAATTATAATCCTTAATCAATTATTTTAAATAAGTCATTTTAATTAAATTATTAATTAAGAGATGTATCAAAATTTTAAAGTTATTATAACTTTAAATTTAACATATAATTAGAAAATGTAAACTTTAAATTTTGAAATGACTTGTCTAATATATCTACATGACACATGATATAATATTAATGACGAGTTGTGTTGGAATGACACTTGACAAAAGAATATTAAAACTATTTATTTATTAGAATATGAATTATAGTATCCCATGAGTTTTTCAATAACTAATTATATGTATTTTTACCAATTGGCTCCTTAAGGGAGGTCCTAAGTTCAAAGTTCAAATGTATGGAAGTAGCCCTTAAGGGAGGTCCTAAGTTCAAAGTTCAAATGTATGGAAGTAGCCCTTAAGGGAGGTCCTAAGTTCAAAGTTCAAATGTAGGGAAGTGGCCCCCCAAAAAGGAAGTTTCAAGTTCAAATCCAAGAGGATTTAACTAGGAGTGGCCAGGAGAAGGCTTGCAACGTTGTTCAGCAACGTATTCGAATCTTTTCAATCTCTCTCTCTCTCTCTCTCTCTCTATATATATATATATATATATATATATATATATATATATATAAAAAAAGAGGGTACTTGAATTAAGTATATGATAGTTCCTATGAAGTTAAGAATCAAAAAGACAGACGCCCTAATGTTGTTTCACGTGGTTGTCATCTAGTTTTCAAAACTTTTTTGAATGGATCATCACTCAGATTTCAACCGTTAGTGTAATTTTTTTTCTATTAGGTGCAACATCTTGAAATACGAGTACAACTGCTATTTGAGATTTGTTTTGAATTTTTTTTTTGTTTTTTTTTTTTGATGCCACCACTACTTAAGGATTCTAGTTAGTGTCATCAAATTTTATTATGAAATTGTAGCTTCAATTTCTTTAAATTGTTGCTTAAAATACCCCTAGAAAGTAGAAACCATTGACATCCTCTCCTTCTCTTGGTTTAAAAATGGGCAACAATTGATGGTAATGCATGCTTTTTAATAAGAGTCGTCCAGTTTTTCCAATTATGGAAAGAGAGGTTATGGATGCCACCTTTTTCGTTACCCAAAATAGCATTCCTCTTGCTATATCTTCCCCAACTCCTCCACCATTTTCATCGTCCATCAACAATATTCATCTTCTCACACTCCAAAATCTTTCTGCAGCAACAGGGGTTTTCCTTGTCAAGGACTGAATCTTTTGGTTGTTGCAGCAGGTATTATTAACGATTTCAATATGTTCTTCCCCAATTCTCATACTATTTGATAAATGCTACGTATAACATTCACTTCAATATCTGTTTTTGGAATGGATTTGTGGATATTAATTTCTAATATTTTTTGAAGACGATTTAAGGAGCAAATGGGAAAGAAGAGTTGGTTTTCCGCAGTCAGGAAAGTTATATCCACTTCTTATCTCAAAGAGAAGAAACATAAGGTTTGTATCTCTTTCTTTCACTTTCAACACGTTTTACATGAAATAAATTCAATGAAATGCCAACAATCGTTAACACATTCCCATTGTGACAGAAATCCCATAATAAATCAAAATCAACCAAAAAATCATTCCATGGAAATCAAATGAGCTTGGATAGATCTTTATCTCTAACAAAAGCGCCAATAGTTAGCCCTCCCATTTACAACCCCCCCCATTAATGAGCCCATGGATCAAGATTCATTCCCCCGTATCAAATCACAAGAAGATATCGCCGCCATCAAGATTCAAAAGGCTTATCGTGGATATTTGGTAATTAATTATTCTTCTAGCAACCTTTAAGCAGACTCACAGTATCTAGTCCTAAAATCATTATATGAGATGTAAATCAGATACACAGTGTCCAGAAGGAGCCCAATCCATATTGGAACTGGAACTATCACACTGCAACTGTTGAGACTTTAAAGTTTGAGTTGTGAATCTTGTAATACAAATTTTATAGGTAAGAAACGGTTCGAATCCTTTGAAGGCATGGAGGAGATTGAAAATGTATATGTATAGCCAGGCAGTGAAACGACAAGGCGCGTCCACTTTAAAGTATGTGCAAACAATGGCTCGTGTCCAGTCTCAAGCTCAAACCAGGAAGATTCGAATAGCTGAAGTCAACGAGGCTCTCCGACAACAGCTCCATCAAAAGCGCATAAATAAGCTCAACAACTCCAAATCCTCAGTAAGTTGTCTTTTTTCAAACGCTCTATTGTAAATCCATTTATCATATAAAACTAAAAATAACGTTGCGACGGAAAAGATAACATAAATTATTATTTTTCGTCAGGAGAGAAGCGGTTGGGATTTGAGCCCGAAATCTAAGGAACAAGTAGAAGAAAGTTTACGAAGGAAAAAGGAGGCTGTTGAAAGAAGAGAAAAAGTATTAGCTTATTCACACACTCATCAGGTATTACTCTAAAAGTTATGTATATATACATAGTCCCGATACATGAATTTGTTCTAAAGGTTTTTGGTTTTGTAAAAACAGCAAACATGGAGGAAGAACTTGAAAAAAACTAAGGGCGCAGACTGGGAATGGAATCGGTCGGCAAGCCGCCAATCACCGCCTTTCAAGGTGGTGGCTCAGCCAGCAAGATCGCAGTCAAAGGTGGCGGTTTTGTCAACAAAGTCCGTGAAAGCCTGGTCTCCGATGTCAAAACCTGGTCCCACTCCAATGGTGTCAGGAAAGAAACGCGTACAAAATACAGGAGCTTTGGTTGGGTCGGCCAAGAAGCGGGTTGCAGTATCGGGTTCACCATCTTCTGTTGGGAAAAAGTCATTGGGTAGGACAAATACTAACACCAAAAGGTGAATGGAAGTTTGAAAATGGGAAGGTTGTTGTTGGTGATGTATGTTGTTGGAGAAAAGAAAAAAAAAAAATCTATATATAAATGTACTCGTGTTGTACAAGTATTTATGTATAAATGAAAAATGAAGAGCTCATATGATCAAAGATTTTGATACCATAATTATGTCCGTTGATTGTCTTGATTGGATAACATTCTAATTATAACATAAAATAACTACTCATCGTACAAATACAAATCTTCCACAAGGAAAAACTTTATTTATCTGTAACGACCTAAATGGCAAAACTTTATTTAATCGCCACCTGTTTGGTTGACAAAGCTTAAAATCCAAAAAAAAAAAAAAAAACGAAACCAAAACCGAGAAACTGTCTGGTTTGGGTTTAAATTTTTTAAAACGAAAAAATGGGTTTTGGGTTCGGTTTTAGTAAGTCAAACTGACCCAACCCGAGATTATTACATGTTTTTAAATGATATGCTATAATTTGACTTTCTATGTCAAACGTAATATACATCAAATGCGACAGGAGGTGGATTTTGGTACTAAATTACACAGAATATATGCTTTTTGTGTTGTTTTAGTGAAACCAAGATTACTACATGGTTGTTTGCTACTTGTATTGTTTCTAAAAACTTGTTTAACTTTGTTGTTCTTAAACTTGGTTGTTGTAAACTTTTAGCAACATACTTTTGATGTTGTGTTGGTGTTGAAATTAGTCTTTTTAGTTTCTTTAATCTAGGTTGTTAAATTTGTTTTATTTTTTAAGTTATAAAGATTCACTGAAAAATCGGTTACAACCCAAAACCCACGGGTTTAAACCAAAACCCATCAACCCATGGGTTGAACCAAAAACCGATAAAACCAACCCAAGAACCCAAAAACCGACCTAACCGGCACCATGCTCAATTTCTCAAACAATTTGAAAGAGTAAATTGCAAAATTGGTCCCAGCGGTTTACCAAAAAATGCAGTTTCGGCCCATTTTTTTTCAGCACGGATGGTCCAAAATCAAAACTATTGTGAAGTGGGGACCCAAAACTAGATACTTGAATAAATACCTGAAAGGACGAAAATGCCCCCGACTTATAAAGTGGCCATCCAATAAAGTTTTCCCTGTATTGATTTCTTTTTGTTCACAAAGCTTTTCCGAATACATGTAAAGATATTTATTTGAATTATCTTTTAATAAATTTCTTGTTCACAAAACTTTTCTAGACTACTTTCCGATAAAAAATAAATAAATTGTACAACAATAACAATAACAGAATCCCAGTCCCATAAGAATCTGGCAATGGGGACTGCTAGTCCGACTCTATTCCACATACAATAACAACTTACAAAATGTTAAATAAAAATTACAAAATTTAATAATAAAAGCAACATTCTATATTTCCTATACCCACTGCATCCCTCCGAATGAAACTACAAGTAAACTCTTAAGTTTTTGGCATTTTATTTTTGTCATTTCACATTTTTAATGGTTCCAATTCATATTTTCTTGCATTATTTACTATTCAGCCCTCTTCTTCCTGAAAAAGGGCCACCTATCTATTCTTACATAGGCTATCTCAACCCATAAAAATTAAAACCGCATGATTCAAATAGAAAAAGGTACCTTCATGTTCAACGGTTGACTATTCAACCGGAATCAATGATTCCGAAGTAATCAATACACCATTCCTTGGATCCTCTGATGCAAAAATTCTGCAATGCAATCAGGAAACAAAACACAAAATAAGATAAATAAGAAATTTGTAAAACTGAGTTGCATGGACTTGATAAAAAAAAAATGACATGTAATTACACTACAAATATACCTTGTTTGACTTTTTTTTTTTTACTAGAATCAAACGACAGTTGACCTGATTTCTCTCTTCACAAGTGCACACATCAAATTAATACAAGTCGACTTCTTCAAAGCCACACCTTTCTCCAACACTTCACCAAAAACACACATTGCATCCCGATACTTTTCTTCACTACAAAGCCTATCGATATTTTCCGAATACCCCCCTGAACTTCCATCTAATTCCTCCACACCCCCACTAGAATCCAAATCATCAAATCGCCCCCACTCAATCATCTTTTCCATCAAATCCTCCACCTCCTCATTCTTCCCACCATCATTAACCACACCAAGAACAGCATTATATGTATACCTATCAGGGCCAAGATTCTTTTCCTTCATTTCAAGAACAAGCTCTTTGACATCTTCAAATCTCCCCTCTTTACACAAACATGACACTAACGTGTTATAAGTTACTAAATCCACTGTTTTTCCATTTGAAACCCATGTATTGAAAAGAGTAAAAGCTTTTTCCACTAACCCTTTACTACAAAGCCCATGTAAAAGAATGTTACATGTATAAACATCTGGCTTAAAATTGTTCTTAATCATGTCATTATGGAACTGAATCGCCTTCTCAACATCCCCCTCCCAACAATACCCAAGAATAATTGTATTATATGTCTTTTCATCGGGAGATAAACCGTTTTCAAGAAGCTCATTTAACTTGGTTATTGCTTGTTCCATTTTTCCCGATTTGCATAGCCCAAATATAACAGTGTTATATGTAATTACACTAGGAACAATCTCTTTATCCTTCATTTCATCCCAAAGATTCATACCCTTTTCAAAATTTTCATTCTTGAAGTACCCCATCATTAAAGTTCCATAGCTTACTTCATCGATTATATAACCTTGCTTTTTAGCATCTTTAAGAAACTCATATGCCTCATCTAGCTTATTCTCTAGACACAAGGCATGGAGAATGGTATTGAGGGTAAAAGTGTCCATTTTTAAACGTCTCCCACTCATTTCTTTCATGATCTTTAATGCTTCTTTTAGATTACCAACTTTGGAATAACCTTTAATCAAAGTGTTGTATGTTACACTATCTGGAGAAAATCCACTTGCTTCCATATCGTTTATTGTTTCAAGAACTTTATCCATATCACCTTCTCTACAATACCATTTTATAAGTATATTGTAAGTTACCTCGTTCCTTTTTATTCCTCTTTCACTCATCAAATCAAGAAACTTGATTGCTTCGGAACTTTTCTTACACTTAAAGCAACCGTCTATCAATGTATTGTAAGTAATGATATCGGGGAATAATTTCAAATTCTCCATCTTGTTAATAAGTTTAATGGCTTCTTCAATCTTTTCCTCATCACAAAGTCCACTAACTAATGTGTTATAAGTCCAAAGATCAGGCAAGAAGTTGTTTTGTGTCATGAGATCGAAGATATGAGTAGCTTCTGTCAGACACCCTTTCCTCTGACAATATCCATGAACTAAAGTGTTATAAGTGTTGCGATTTGGAAACAAACCTTGATTCTTCATATCTAGAAGCAATTCCCTAACTTCGTTTAATCTGCCCTTCTTGCATAAAGCATTCAACAAAGTGTTATAGGTTACATTGTCGGGTAGACAGTTAGATTCTCTCATTTTTTTCATCAAATCCTTGGCATCGCCAAATTTGTTCTCTAAACAATAGCCATTGATCATGATATTGAACATATTCACATTGGGAACGACACCAAGTAGGATAGCATCGTTAATTACTTCTCTGGAATACAAAATGGAACGGGAGGATGAGTGTTTTACCAGAGAATTAAGCAATGTGTTGCAGGTAATGAGTTTAGGGCAAATCCTGAGTCTTTTCATCCTCCTAAACACAATCATGGCCAACTGAGGGTATCCCATCTTGACATAAGCACCAATAGCTGTGTCGTAAAGTGCTTTGGAGTGACGAGGGATATCCCGCGTGGGGGTGAAGGATGGACCGGAGGAGACGATGCCGCATGTCGGCGCCGATGAAGCTAAGAAGGAGAGCTTTGGCATCGGACCATTTGTTGTGAGCAAACAGTGTTTGGAGTACCACGAATAGCGACGGAAGAGTGGTGGGGGAGCCATTGACGAAATTAGGAGCGTGAATTTGGGAGATTTTGAAGAAATTTAAGAGAGCCTGGGGGTTTGATTTAAGGGTTTTGGAGGAGATGATTGTGTGGATAATTCCAGGGGTCAAATGTGGGATGAATTCGGAGATTGAAGAAGTGAGAGAGGTGGAAGGAGTGTTGTGGCGAGGATTTTGGTTAGTGTTTCAGTGATTTCAGAAGGATTTAAGGGAGGTTTTGGGGGAGACGACGATGTGTTCATCATCACTGCGTTTGGGCAATTTTTGACAAATCAATACCGTATTAGCGTCCAAAATTTTTTAATTTTACAATTCGACACCAAAAGTTTAAATGATGTGGAAAGAGGTCACATTTTGCGACGATTTCTGTCTTTTGATTTTTGCTCGAGAAGAATTTTGAAATTTTAAACACCTAGGAAACATGTCCAAAAATGTATTTTAATAATTTGCTTTGGAATATTTATCTTTCTATCTAGAGTAAATTACACGAATGGTCCCTATGGTTTAGGGTAATTTGCGCGTTTGGTTCCTAACTTATTTTTTTAACTCGGAAGGCCCCTACTGTTTGTTTTTGTTACGCGGTTGGTCATTTTTTTAATTTATCTAAATAAACACACCCCTAATCCTACCCATCACCTTACATCACCTACCCCATCATTTTTTCCTCTTTAAATAATAGTTTTTTTAGATAAGATAGGGACCAAACGCGTAACAAAAATAAACATTAGGGACCAAACGTGTAACAAAAACAAACCATAAGTATGAAGATATTATTAATTTTATCAAATATGATATTTATTATAATTTCATATCAGTATGAAGATAAATAAAAAGAAAAAATAGGAGCATATTTTATTTCTCTTTGCTTTGGTATTATTGTAAGGTTATGGTGTGTCTCCATATCACCATAACATAAGAAGTTCGATTCTTCAGCGTCATATTAACATCATTTCTACACCACTTAACATCATATTAACATCATTTCTATACCATTTACCGTAGAAAATACCTATCACTTCATCATCCCAAAGTTATGTTGTATTCTATGCAAATTGTGTTGTATATTGAAGAAGATCACACATGGCTTTGAACAAGGGCAAGCAGGACAATTGCATAGGGCCCACTTTTTGTGGGGCCCAAAATTTTTAATTTTTTTATATATTGTATACAAGTTGGCCCAATTAGTAACCAAAAGGTTCAACAATCATTGTTCGCCAGCCATGCACCAAAAGAAGACATAAGTGAAGTCGATATCCAAAATCGCACAACAAATCGACCACCTCTGCGATTTACAGTGATTCAGCAGCGTGCAACACAACAACAACGTGCAACGCTTTTCAGGTAAAAGATTTCTACTTTTCTTTTTGTTCCAAGCCTTGAATTGAAATTGCCAAATCATATTATCAGTCTATAAGACTAGGTTTAATGTTTATCAGAAATCAGATTATTAGTCTATCAGATTATCCATGGATTGATTGTTTGGAGCACCAAATGATGGTAACATGAAGCCATGTGGAAGTGATAAAATAGAAGATCTTACCTCATGTTCCAGAATTACCCTTGATATAGACATGATGCTATTAAACTTTCATATGGAAATGTTGAAGGTGACAGTGGTAGATATATTTGCAAAAGTTACAATATATGATCCATTTAGTGCAATAGAATCCAAATAAAAAAAGGAGGAAGAAAAACGTAGGCATCACAATTTCTAGCAAAAATGGGCAATCCTTGTATATTTAACATAATCGAAATTACTTGAACAGGAGATACATTTTGATTTTGTTATCCATGGGTGATAACTATAAAGCTCCAAGTTTCACAAACTGTTAGTTTGATCAAGTTTTTTTTATTGCTAGAATGGTGCATGGTGGTGCCCACTTTGTAGTTCTTTTACTGGAATGACTGCAACTGAGACAAATATAATGGTAAAGTAAAATTACCTTGATATTCTTTATTAACTAATATAATCTAAAAAAGGTGGAAATCCTAACTAATTTTTTATAAGCTAAATATTATACTTGTCGAGATATAAATATTGTAAGAAGTGATGCCAAGTCTTCAGGACCGGTAACAATAAGCTTATCACCTCTTTATATGTTAAGTAGATAACTCTCCAACCAATGTCGAGCACGTGGATTTAGCTTCACAATTTGTTCCTTGATGGAGTTAAAATTTTGAATTTTCGAATTATACTTGTCGAGGTATAAAATAATATGATTTTCTATGTTTATTGTTATAAAGTTTATCGTTGTTTTAAAAAAACTTTAGTTTATATAATTTAATTCGTTACTTTAGGGCCTAAGGGCCTTTTTTTTCGACTCATCCTGGGCACTTGAATCCTGAGGACCGACCCTGAAGAAGATGAAGAAGGCTTAGTGTTGAGGTACATTACCAAGGAAATGAAGCCTTCACATCATGGCATGTTGATCAGTGGCAGAGCTATATGGTGCGGTGGAGATACTATAGCATACTAAAAAAAATTGTTTTTTACATAAAAAATATATTTGTAAACATGTTCTATGAGTATATGATATTATACCCCAAACAAAGGGAATGTACCATGTTTTTAATACCTGATAGATATTAACTATATAAAATATATATTTTCCGGTTGTCACATCAAGTGTAGAGAGAATAAGTTGTAGAATAGTATGGACGATCAAGTTTTAAACGATTGTTATTCAATTGTATTTAGAATGATGTATTTCCACAATTTCTTGAAGACGATATCATTGATTGATTTCAAGACATTACGATTAGGTCGAGTCAATTATAATTTTTGCTTCAATTATATTTTTTCGATTTACGACTTTAAATATTAAGAAAAATTTTTGTCTTTATTATTTTGAATTTTAACAACATTTGTGTCAAGCTTTGACACTTTGCAACGTTGGGAGGTTGTTTCCTATGACTAATATGTCATCGACATATAGAACAAGAAAGGCTACTACACTCCCACTAGATCTAACATACATAGACTTTTCATCTTCATTTCTTAAGAAACCAAACTTTTTGATCTTCTCATGAAACAGATGTTCCACCTACGAGATGCTTATTTGAGTCTGATGGGACCTGGGTTCCGACCACCTTGAGGGTGAAAGTTGTGCTCATCGGAGGGAAACCTGAGAGGTCACAAAGAGAGAAAGTCGCCAACTGATGTGTATGAAATGCACTGGTTTTATTCCTACTTTTAAATTATAAATTTAGCACACAGAGATAGTGAACCTATCTTTTAGTGGTATAGTTGGATAAGTAGGATGTCGAACTCAGGGAACAGAAATTAAACTAATAACTAATTTTAACTAAACAAGTAATAAAAGTAAGGGTTTTTCTCTAGTTTTACAAGACTAGAAACTTAAACACACCACCTAACAAGTGATTAACTAAACAACTAGAAACAAGTAAAAATTCACCAAATTTGATAGAAAGTTTCTGTTTAGGTCCAACCAATTCACTCCTATAGTTATTTGTATAATAAGATGATAATTATTTGTTATTGGTTATCAACTATAGTGGTTAGATTCATATTCATTATTACTAACCCTTAGAAAATTAATCAATTCAAGCAGTGGCCAATTGTTTAAACTAATTAACTCCCTAATTCATTTATTTGGATTAAATAAGATTTGTAATTGGTTAATCAAGTTGGTGACTCAACTAACCTCTTGTTTGTTGGTTTCTCAAACAAGCTCACACATTAATTTACCCATTCTCTAATTAATCCTAGTTTCATGTTCATTAATCCTAGACATATGATGAAGTGTTCACATAAACATATGAGGTTAACAATTCAGAAATGTCCATGCAGCTTAATTGTCTTCCAATTTATAGAAAATAGTTATAGTTCATGCATAAGGTTCTTTAACAAACATAATTTAATAAAATCACCAATAAACAATCAAGAAAAGTAATAATCAAACCATAGGAGTAACTTGGTTTTTCCTAAACAGAAACAACATGAATTTAGCTCATGATTATAGTGGAAACAAGCTCAAAAACGAATTTAACAAAGTTAGTCATGATTAAATCCTAAGATTAAGTGGAAAATATAACCTAATTCGCCTTGAGTCTTCAAAAGATCAAAGATTAGGGTTCTTCAAGTCTCCGAAGGGTTCTTCAATTGCAGGTGTATCTCCCAAAAAGCTAGAAAAATTCCCCTAATTCAGAATAAGGCTCCATATTTATACTTATCACAAAACAGGGTCAACTCGGCGAGTAGGTCCCAAACTCGCCGAATAGATGTGGAAAATACCTGTTTATCAAGGACTCTTGACTTTTCTTCGTGAATATTCTCAGGAACTCGCTAAGTAGCTTCGTGGACTTGCCGAGTAGATCCAGATATCTTCTTTTTCTTCATTCTTTGGTTTCTAATTGCCTCTCATTATTCCTTTTTGCTTCCAAGCATGTCTTTTGGACTGAAAACACAATTTATACATTATTAAGTACCTTTTGTCCATATTATACACATAATTAGGTAAAAATGAATAAAAATCTATACTAAACATATGGCTAACTATGCACATATCAAAATACCCCACACTTGACTTTTTCCCCCAAGCAAAACTGAATTTTAGCATATTAGAATCACATAGGACAACTCCAATCGAACCCACCCATTACGCCAAAACCGCAACGCGTGCATTTGTGTCTAAAATTTACCTAAAAAACCCCCAATATTCCAAATATTTACAATCCTCATAAACATTCACCCACTAATGCCGAACAATGCTCATTTTATGCATCCCTCCGAATCCATCCGCAGAAAACTTCCTAACCTCAAGGTGTTTTTGGTTGAGCAACCCAAGCATAGATAATCTAGAAATTACAATTTATGATACCACTATGGAGGTCTTTTGCATCCTCACTTCTTTGACAATTTGATCTTTGATTTTCAGGTATCTTCAATTTTTGAATCTTCAGAATTTTGATCTTCATACTTTGACTTTGATGTTCCAAAAATTCTTCAAACTTTTTCTTATAATTTCCCTTTTTTTTC